CCCCCCCCCCCCCCCCCCCCCCCCCCCGCTGGACCGGCCGCAGGTGCTTCGACGGGCCCCTCCGGCCAGGCCGAGGCAGCCGCGTCTCCTCCAGGACTTCCCGGAGGGCGGACCTCGCGACCCGTCCCGGAAGCACAGGGAAGGCGGGAAGCAGGCCCGGGCCGCCCACAAGGCCCAGATCGCAGAACTACAATGGTCTGGGAGACAGAAACCGCAGAGGCCAGCCGCGCGACCCCGCCGCGTTACCGATGAGAGCCCCGAGGCGGAAAGAAGCCCACGCGAGTAACGTGCGGGTGACGTGACGCGACGCGGAAAATGGTGACGTGTGCGGAGTGACCATGACGACGCGCCGGACGCTGCCCTAGGTGTCCAACGGGGTCTCCCTGGATCCTCACAGCAACCCCCCCCCCCCCCCCCCCCCCAGCAGGGGACCGTGCTTAGCCGCATCTTGCAGATGGAGGGATCTGCGCCCCCCGTGTGCACAGCCAGTAAGCGGCAAGCATGCGGGACCCAAAGGCGACTGCGGGGGTGGGGGTGAACCCCCCGCCGCCCGCCCCCCCCCCCCCCGGAGGACCTGTGCGGCGGGGGGCGGGGGGAGAATGTTGCAGGGAGGCGAGCTTCGAGGCCTCGGCAGGACCAGGGGTAAACCGACTCAGTTTACCCCTGGTGCCTCCTGAACCGCGTCGCCTTCCTCAGCTTCAGGTTTTGTGCAGTTAGGCCCAGTGGACGACCCCCAGAGCCCGCACTTAACAGAATACAAGGGTCAACGGGCCGCGGTAAATTTAACTGCATCTCCTTGTCGGGGCGGACTGGGGGTGACCGAGGACACGGTGTGGGGTTTCGCCAAGCACCTGACCCAGTCTCTTCTTGAGGGGAAGAGTGTATTCTGGCAGACTCAGAGCTACTTAATCTATATCAGAATTATTAAAGGCTCTGTATCTTCTTGCACAGAATTCACTGCAGGATGTCAAAGGCATTGATCCTCAACTTCGGTGTTCAGTGTATTTATGAGCCATTTAAATACATAGGAGGACTTTACATACATACACCAAAATGTACACAGGAGTGGCTGGCTGGCTCAGCCCACAGAGCGTGTGACTCTTGTCTCAGGGCCATGAGTTCAAGCTCCACGTTGGACAGGAGCCCACTTTAAAAAATTAAAAAAAAAAATTTTTTAATGTTTTATTTATTTTTGAGACAGAGACAGAGACAGAGCATGAGCAGAGGAGGGGCCGAGAGAGAGGGAGACACAGAATCCACAGCCGGCCCCAGGCCCCGAGCTGCCGGCACAGAGCCCGACACAGGGCTCAAATTCACAAACCGCTAGGTCGTGACCTGAGCTGAAGTCAATGAGCTATTTGTGTTTCAGCCACAAAGACTAAACGATGTAAGAATCGATGTCAGAATCCTACAATAGCTGGCATTGGAGAGGACAGCCCACATTCCCTGGTATTATGAAGTGAGAGAGGAATACGATGCAGTATAACAGTTATTTCAAAATATACCCACCCCCAAATGCTCAATAGTATATACACTATATGTGCTTAGATGTACAAAAACAAAAAGAAGAAAAAACATCAAATTCAAGAAGAGTGGTAATTTTTTAAATAGAATACATTTACTCAGGTTTTACACATACAATTCAAATTAAAAAAAATTTTTTTTAATGTTTATTGAGTTTTGAGAGAGAGAGAGAGAGAGAGAGAGAGTGCAAGCTAGGGAGGGGCAGAAAGAGAGGGAGACACAGAATCCCAAGCAGGCTCCAGGCTCCAAACTGTCAGCACAGAGCCGGATGCGGGGCTCGAACCCACAAACTGAGAGATCATGACCTGAGCCCAAGTTGGACGCCTAACCAACTGAGCCACCCAGGTGCCTCCTACAATGCAAATTTTTTAAAGCACAAATTTGACATTGAGTTAGGTCTACATGAATAAAGTGAGGCACAGAATCAGATATTAAGTTGAACTATATAAAATAATACCTAATGCAACTTTTGGTCAAAAACAAGGTCTGGTAACAAAGTAATGAATGATTTTCTTGTGTGGCTTATGAGCTGAGGCCCAAGGCAACCGTCTAGAGACGCAGAATGTTTTAGGGGATAAGATAGCAGACAGAGCAGTTCGTGTGTAAGGGTGTGGGAGTTTTGGCCATAAATTTATATAAGCCGCTCCTGTGATAAGGCTAATGTCAACCTGCACAGCAAGCATATGGTACCAGTGTGACTTAATCTGGAATATTATAGCCTATCTGGGCCCCACATCATAAGGCAAACTGGAATATCCAGAGGAGAGGAAGCAGAATTGTGAAAGAATCCAAAATCATATTGTATAAAAAAAGGCTCAAGGGAAAGGGATCTTTTATTTATTATCTTTTCATTTTACTTATTTTTGAGAGCGCGTGTGCAAGCGGGGGGGGGGGGGGGGGGAGTGGGACAGAGGGTCTAAAGTGGGCTCTGCCCTGACAGTGGAGAGCCTGACGCAGGGTTCAAACTCGCGAACCAGGAGATCATGGCCTGAGCCAAAGTCAGACGCTTAACTGACTGAGCCACCCAGGTGCCCCGGGAAAAGGATCTTTTAAACTAAACTGGCAAGTATTTATTACACAAGTAGCTCATCAATACATCTCATTGGGACAGAACAGAACAATACAAAAATAGAACGTAACAAGAAAGACCCCGTCACTTATCTGTGCCCACCCACCCCACGCTGCCCTCCGCGGTGGACCCCGTTACATTTGGCGTGTGGCTTTCCAGTCACTTTTTCGAGGCGTTTCATACACACATATGCACAGCTTTTTTACAAAAATGGAATCCGATAAAAATGGAATATTGTCCTACAGTCTGTCCAATGTAATGCGTCTTGGAGAGCTTTCCATGTGGATATAGGCAGATCTAACTCGCTCCTTTTAGGAATTACACGGTGCTCGGGTAGGGAAACCGTGTCAGGATTCATCTGACAGATGGCCTTCAAGACGGGCATTTACATTTTCTTCTTTTGTTGCTCTTACGAGCTATCCTTCGGAGGACACTCTTGTATGCGCATCTCTGTGCACCTGACTGTCCTCCGCGATGACGTCCCAGAACTGGAACTTACGCCCCCACCTACGGTGTAGAGCGGTCCGCCTACTTCTGCACACATTTGCCAACGTTTACGTGAAGTGTTTACAAATCTGATGGGAGACTCTTCAGTCTGCAAAGGACCAGGAAGACAGAAGAGGTGTAAGCTGCCCCCAAATATCGAAAC